GATTTGGTATAGTGATAAAGAAAAGAAGAAAGGCAAGAATAGAATGTGGATCCACAGGGCAGACATTTTTATCTGTTGGGTTCACTGATGTATCCTTAGCACCTAAAAGAGTGACTAGCTCACAGTAGATGCTCAAGAAATATTTGCTGAACGAATGAACAAGAATAAATAAATGTCTATTACTATGGGATTTTTAAGCAAATTACAGCAAATGAACTGGAAAGCATATTATGCAGCTTTTTTAAATATTTAGAAAATTATTTAAAGGCATGCTGAAATGATTATAATATTGCTAGGTTAAAAAATCCTGTTACAAGATAGGATTATTTTTCACGGTATGTGTATAAATGTTGACACATAAAAAACAGACTGTTACTATTACTTCTTTCACTACACAGGAAGCTAGTAAGTTTGGGCATCTGAGCTGTTTAGAGAAAAGGGATCATATATGAGAGAAAAGCAATGAACACAAAAACCAACTGCAATGAACACAACTGCAGGTGACTTCTTTTGCCAGAGTTGAAATACCGTTATTCAAAATTTAATTACAATTGATACAAGATTTGGACTGTCTTACTAATGACAAAGCCTCCCTTTTGGGACCTCAGATGACCTCTGTAGGCCAGTTAGTTATTCTGCTTCTAAAAAAACAAAACTGACTGAACTTTTTAGTGAGAAGTTTGGATCAGGTTACTGCAGCCTTCAAAGGTGGCTTATCTGCTGAGTCTAAAAGTTCTCATGCAATCTTCTCCAGTCCAGACTCATGATTCAGCATCCGCAGTGCTCCCAGTGCTGGCACAGCTGACGGGAGCTGTGGTTTGTACAAATGCCAGGAAGCCCCGTTGCCGTGCTTGATTTAGCATTTCTGCTCACTTTCCACAGCATTAGCTTTTAGGGAGATTCAGCACAGCCCAAGATGCAGCCTAAGGCAAGAACTGGCAGAAGACTGAGAAAACTATGTAGAGGTTTTTTAATCTGTGCTACAAAATTCAAAGGCTGGGACACACATCAAATTACAAATATGCCCACTGTTAATTGGACAGTTATGAATCCTGAGAAATGCCTTTGCCCCTGGGCAATATTTACAATTAAGGCCACCTATAAATATTTGTTGAGAAGCTATCAGACTGAAAATCTCCATTCTCTATGCTGCACAACTCAGCAAGCCCACACATGAAAGGTGCCATTTTTATGTGACACTAGTTAGCAATCTAGAAACAAATCAAACAACGCCTCACCACTTTGCTTCCCTCTTATCCTGTCTCATGCCCGTGTTATCCGGGGACACTGCGGAGGCTCAATGGCACTCTTGACTTCCTAAACATCACAGTCTCTCTCTGGAGCCATGCCAGGGTTTTCCCCCTGACTAGTGGGAATCACTGTGTTCCTTACCTGCAAAATAATCTCTCTCTTGCTTTAATCTAAACTCACTTCCTCTTATTGCTCCTCCCTGAAGAGAACAAAAGTTAATTTCCAACTGAAGGAGCTCAAGTACCCAATTACCTTCATATTATGCTTGGTGGCATGATCAGGTTTATTTGCCCTCTCTATGCCTGCGTGTCTTCATTTGTAGAACAAGAATAATAATATCCATGGGGTTATTGTGAAAATTAAGAGAGGCTTCCTTCTCCGCTTGTCCTCTGACCTTGGGTGTATTTGGGTACATCATTTGGACTAAAAATTGTTCTAACAGCCCATTCAGTCTTATAATTCAGATTCTATGTCCCTGAGCCTGGTTCTTCTTTATCTACTATTTTAAGCTGCTATCTGATATGAAACTTTACAGATCTTTGTAGCATTCACTTATGTAAGATATTGTATGTATAACTAAGCCAATAAACATTTCTTTATCGGCCTGAATATACAGACTCTCTCTGTTATCTCAAACATTTGTAAATCCTAATAAAGTTCTTCTCATTAAAATAGTACCCTTGTATACAAAGACAAGTGACTTTATTGAGATAGACATCAAAATAACGTAGTACATTGAACAGTTCTGATCAAGTATACTTATCCTACAGAATTTCTATACACTATTAACCATACCTTAGAGAACTGTGGTTTTCCATTTTCATAGTGAATCTCCACATAATCAGAAGACAGCAAACCACTACAAAGGAAAGAAAATAGAGTGATTCTATACTTGAAGGTTTAAATAATCAGCTTAACAAATAGATGTGGGGGGCAGGTACAACACAAATAGCTACAGTCCACAGTAGACTGTAAATACATTATCATCAAGAGTTTCAAATATTACCTAGCAACAAATCATTCCTCCGTCTATTGAAAAGACACATTTGTAATAATTTAAGGGTGATCTCCTTTTATACACATTATTCATCATTTGATTGATATGTTAATTAATATAGAACCAACTAAAAGACAGATAACAGGAGAAAACGGGTCCTATAAAAATCCCACAGTTATGCTCTAAATAATTGGAATTTCATAAAACATATTCACTGAAGAACACTATAGAACAGGCAATGGCAAATTTTTTTCTGTAAAAAGCCAGACGGTAAATATTTTAGGTTTTGCAGGCCACATAGTCTCTGTCCAACTACTCAACTCTGCCATTGTAGTGCTAAAGCAGTACATAAATGAATGAGCATGGCTATATTCCAATAAAACTTTATTTATGGACACTGGAATTTGAATTTCATATCATTGTATGTGTCATGAAATATTATTCTTCTTTTGATTTTTTCCAACCATTTAAAAATGTAAAACATTCTTAGCTTGCAAATTGTACAAAGCTAGGTGTGGCCAGATTTGGCCAGTGGGCTGTCATTTGCCAGCTCCGGTATAGAATAATGGTTAAGAACACAGACACTGAAGTCAGACAGATCAAGGTTTAAAATCGGGTCCAGTCCCTTATTAGTGGTGTGACCATGGGTGAGTTACACAACTCAGCTTTTACATGTATCAAATGGACATGATAAGAGTATAAATCTCATAGGACATTGTGAGGATTAAACGGAAGCACACATATGCAATGCTTGGCCCAGAACTCAGCACTGAGTAAGTGCTCAGTAATAGGCAGTGTGGCTGTCACTGTTTATTTTGGTCAACTTCCCAAAACACATTTCTCCCTGTACAGTATGAGAAATACTGGGGAGTCCCTGGGTGGTGCAAATGGTTAATGCACTTGACTGCTACAAAAGGTTGGTAGTTTAACTCCATCCAGAGGAGGCTCGAAAGAAAGGCCTAGTGATCTACCTCCTAAAAATCAGCCATTGAAAACTCTATGGCACACAGCTCTATTCTGACACTCATGGGGTCACCGTGAGTCGGAATCAACTCGACCGCAACCAGTTAAAGAGCCCTTGGACTGTTAGGGCACCTAGGTTCCCGTTTGGGCTCTACTAGGAATAATGATAGTGAATGATGATGCACATTTATTGACCACTTACTATGAACCAGATACTGTTTTAAGGCTATAAAGATATTAACTCATTTAATCCCAATAATAGCCAAAAGACACTAGAAGGTTCTACTAGGAGCCAGATGGGTGCCCTTCTTCAAAACGAAGGGCTGGAGCAGAAGATTCCTCAGGTCCCTTCCTGCTCTGATCTTCTGATTTTCTATAATTCTGCCTAATACTAGGTTTTCCTGTTGGTCAATTTTGATACAACTTCATCATTTTGAGAGCTGCACCTGATACAATTCTAAAATGGCCTGGTGAGGAGGGCTGGAAAGAGGTGACTTATAGCCAGTCCACAGAGAGCCAGTGGGAGCCTCAAATATGCATGCAGCATGGTTTTCTGTATGAGCTGAAGGACAACCTCTACAATACAGACATAAAGTAGATGCAGGTACCTTAGACATGTTTTTCTACTGAAATTACCAATTAAGTGTGTAGCTAGTAATGATTCTTCATTTGAAACTAAATTATGGCACATCTCCTCATTTTCTGTTAAAAATCTAAGTAATAGTAAAAGTAATGACAATGCATAACTCACTATACTTGAGGATACCTGGCAAGGTGCAGAAATTTCTTTAATTTCTAGTTAATTAAGTCAGCTGTCGGCAATGTGAACATACATAAACAGGGCTGTTGATGGTAACACTTCTCTGAGGAATGCTTCCCCAACACCAAGAAGCAGAGAGGCTTCACTAACTGCATTCTAATTACCTCTCTCTACAGGTAATTTATTATTTCCAGAAGTCTCAACCACACAGTCACTGGAGCATGTCTAAGAGGTGGAAACAGAGTGATTTTAGACCACTACTTCTGCTTGTAATTTCAAGGGTAAATTATAGCATCCTAAACATTAATCACCAAATTTGATAAAGGTCACTTTAGTTATCCTATTTCCCCATTTGAAAGGGTCTCTTTCTCTGTGGGCATACCTATTTCTAGTATTTCTGGCACTTGAGAATCTTAAAGAATAAAAAATAGCTACTTTTCTGGGAGCCTGTGACAGAGCCTGAGAGAGCTGCAATGCCATATGTCTCTGCCTCCTGCCCCTCACCATGCCACTCCATTTTCCACCTCTTATAAATACCAAGTATCCTCATTTACCCACACTGTCCTCCTGTTGGACCACACAATCCCTCCCCGACATTGCTTCTTTCACTCACCATAGCTCACCATGGGTCCCTGGACGCTAGAATAATGCCCAGCACATAGTAGGCCCCCAATCAATACTTGCTGAATGATCAAATATCTACTAACACCTACTGCATGTCAGTCCCACACCATGTGCTGGAAAGTCAAGATGAAGAATGCAACTTTCTGAAACTGAAACTAAGAAAAATTTGAATATATAAGATTAGTCATCTCACCCTAAAAGATTATTTGTCATCTCCCTGAAAGTGAAATTAAGGTCTATTAAAATGTAATCTGTTAATTAAAAAAGTCTTGAAGTAACGTTGAAATACCAGACCTTTGGGTAACTGAAAAGAACACTGTCAAGGAAGAATTGAATAGTTAAGTGCTCAGTGTGTGTCTCCAGCCCCATCCAGCAGAGAAAGAACAGGCAATATAAGTCTCTGTATCCCTGAAGCTGAGCTATCTGGCAATCCCTGCTTGAAGATGCTCACCATGTCCTTCCCTCCACCTCTGCTCTCTGTAGTTTCCCTGGTAGCATTTTCTGTTGGGTGCAGAATGTTCTGACATGCCAATACTGATCCATTTGGCAATCGTGGTTCAAAGCATAACTTGTCATTTTACTTTTTTGATCAAACAGTTGGGTGTTTGGTTCTGAACACCCTCATAACTCCTGTGAGAACTAATATAAGAGAGTTTCTGAACATCCCAAATTCTGAAATAAGTATACTTTTTCTAATCATTTAAGTTATAGAAAAGCTATACACCATGGCTACTACAATGCTTCTCATATAGGCTACCTGGTGAAAAGAGGAGGCAATCTTTGGTAAAGAGATAAATGAAGGATGGCAAACCCAGGTAGGTGGAAGACAGTGGGAAAATCAGAATGAGAAAATACTCCTGAACTCACTCATTCTGCAGCTTCATGGTAAATATGCACCACTAAGGGAGTGAAAAGAACATGAACTCTGTGGAGTCAGACTGAATATAACTTTACTCAAATGTGAAGGATGACAGTAAACATCTCAGAGATGCTGAGCAGGAGAATGGTAAGACTATTAACAAGAATCATCTCAATGAAGGGGGCTGTGGCAGAAATAATGCGCTGTATCCACCAAATACCATTTCATTTTCTCCTTCCTGGCACGGTAAGACTACATTTCGCATCTTCCTCAGCAGTTAGGTTGGGGCCAAAAGATTGGATTTTGGCTAATGAGATATGGGGGGAATTGATGTCTGCCCCTATAGTACAAGCATTAAAATCCCTGCATGATTATTCAAGTTCTCTCTTCCTTGGTAATCCTGGAAGCCACGTGCTCTAGATGGCATAGCTGCAGGCTGGATACAGTCTAGGTTCCTAGGTCATGATTTGGCGGAGAGCTGCCTAGAGGAGATACGCAACTTGTATTAGACTATAATGTGGGTTAAGATAAAGTTTTTACTGTGTCAAGTTTCAGATTTCATGTTTGTTACTGAAGCATAGTCTAACCCACTCTGGCTAATTCCAGGATTTACCACAAGGAAATCTTTTAGACATTTGTGTTCAAAAGAATTTCAGAATCATCAGCAAACATAAAAGCAGAGCTGCTATTATATCTAGGCAGTAGAAATTCCCACAAAGGGGGAGCTTTGCCTTGAGAAGGTTTTGTGTAGGGGGTGTGTATGTGTGTGTATATGCATATAATTTGCTGGAGTCCTTGAGTTTGAGAAACATGAATAGCCAAGCAGTCAAAACTCCCAAAAGTTTGTATCTTCCATCATGGAAAGGCTCATTATGGAGAAGCCAAGGATCCTAGTAACTAGAAAAGTTACTTACCAAGAATCCCAAGTGCTTTGCCATGAAGGATGAAAGGTTTCTAGTTTTTTTTTTGGAAAATAACTTGAATTCCTTACTTTAAAGAAAGAACCATATGCTTTTTGGGAAGTAACCTTGGTCTGGAAAGTGGTTTAATGAGGCAAACTAAATTGTTTAGAATGAGGCAGCATGGATTACAAGGCTATGAGGAAAACTACCATAAAAGATATACATCAAACCACAAGGAAACCAATTGTTCTACATGAGCCAAAAATCATTTACCTCATTGTAAAAAACAGTCAAATTACCATTCTCTAGAAGTCCCTTCTACTTCTAAAATTCACATTCACTGAAAGTATGTGTTGAGCCCTCAGTCTATCTCTAATTAGGAAATTTGAATGAGTTGCAGGAAACAAAACAAGCTCTTCTAAAGGAACCTAGAGGCCAGGAGAACATTCCCCTACCAGCAAAGCTAGGTAAGAGTCTAGATAAATAACAGCAAGCACCAAAGCTTAACAAATAGGTGGCCATATAATTAATCATCCAAACCAGGACTGGGATTAAAGAGAGGCATATTAATAATTATGCTAGGATAACAGACATAAACCAGGACTGTCCTGGGAAAACTGGGACATATGGTTACCCTATCTATCTATGTAAAAGGTAAATTTAGGATACACCCTCCCCCTTCTACATGGCCAGTCAGGCCAGTCTACAAGGTGAAAAACACCTGAAAGCTGAAATGCTACTAAATAAGCCATCT